AAAAGGAAAAGGAACATTAGTAAAGTTCCTAAAACAAAAACAAATAAAAATAAAAATAAATCACTAACCATTTAAACGAAAGCTGAACCCTCCACCTTGTCAAAATCCAAGACCATCACTAAGGAAAAAAAAAGAAAAGGAGCATTAACAAAGTTCCTTAAACAAAAAAAATAAAATAAAATAAAAATAAATCACTTACCATTAAACGAAAGCTGAACCCTTCATCTTGTCAAAATCCAAGACCATCGCTAAAGAAAAAAAAAAGGAACATTAATAAAGTTCTTAAAACAAAAAATAAAATAAAAAACAAGTTCACTCACCATTTAAACAAAAGCAGATCCCTTCTCCACCTTGTCAAAAACCAATACTACTAAAAAAAAAAGAAAAGGAACATTAATAAGTTCCTAAAAAAAAAAAAAAAATAAAATAAAAAATCACTTACCATTAAACGAAAGCCGAATCCTCCACCTTCTCAAAATCCATTTTAACAAAAGTATTAATTGGCAAATTCAGCAACAATTTTTCCGGCTGTTTCCTCCTTTTCTATTGCAAAGAATATTGCTTGTATTCTTTATTTTGGCAATGATCGATATTCGCAATTTATGAGTCGATTGCGCATTTTATTTTTAGTATCACCTCACCTTTTCATAAAAACTGATTTATCTCAAAAACTACTATAAGGTAGTTTCTCCCCTTTCTATTGCAAAGGGCCCATATTGTCTTTTTATATGGTTGCAAATCAATTTAAATTATAGTAAGTATAGTTGATATAAATTAGCCCTGTAAAAAAATAGTTTCTCAAGAGAAACGCAAATATAGTATTATAGAATAATGAGACTATGCAGTTATCTCAATTTCACGTTGTTCACATTTAATAAAGTAAGATCCTGCTTTATACCTACCTTCTATTTCTTTATCATCATGACCTAATTTGCATAATGGGTAGATATAGTCCCCACATGATGTCTCATCAGTAATCCCATAATAATCAAAATTTTCACTACTACATTCTCTATATAGATTAGGATATTGATCCAATATCTTGTTGTGAAAATAGGTGCGGTCATAGGTTGGATTAAATTGACCAGAAGAAAATACATTTGCCGATGTACTTACTTCAACTGAATCCAAGTGCACCTCTAATGCATTAGTTTGATTGGTTTTTGAAGTTTGAGAAGTAGGCGGAGTGCTTATCCTAACATCTGATAATTTTTTTGGGACAGACCCTTGACTTTTCTCAAGTGGGACTTTAGGTCTCACTTTTTTTATTCACCACACGTCTCCATATCTACTTAATACAATGTATTTCAGCTTGAATTTTTTATTGATGCAGTAAATAAATTACATGATTCGGTGATTACATAGACTAGTTTTACAATGTGAAATAGTGAGCGTTTCTATACTAATGCCTACAAACTATACCAGTTTTTTGTTCTTCTAAACTATCTATATCCCAACTCTAATCTGATTTCATTTGTCCCATCATCGATATTCTGGATAGAATAAAATGGTCATCAGTTATGCATAGAACACGCAGAATCTGAAATAAATTAACAATTTGACTTTAGTAAAACTCACCGAAAGTTTATCCGTCTACTAAGATCCCCAAAAGTTCTGAACAAAAAAATAGATATTAGCTTTACGAGCTATGAAGCACTCACTTCCTTGCAAATGCACAGTCAAAGCCGAAAAAATATATTTCATTCATACCTTAATTGTGAAGCGGGCTTTAATAATTTTTTCGTCAACACTTCTTAAATTGAGATATATCAGTTTCTTTTTAATGAATTCATACTCAGTGAATGCAATAAGTAACGATAAAATCGTATGAATCATTTCTTTTCGCTTGCCGATAAGTTAATTTTATAAACTTTTTTTCTTACTATGCTTATATCATTTACATCACCAATTAAAAATTTATAAAGATCATTTTATAATTAATCACGATGTATTCAGAAAAGTATATAAAGTATCTTAGACTTTCTCATTTCTTACTTTCACAAGAAATTCTCTGCTAAATTTTCTTTTAAACTTTTCTAAAAAAACTAATCGCTTTTACAGAAACAAAATGATGTTGTCGCTTAATTGTTTGATTCTAGGACAAGCTTCTGAAAAAAGTCTCACTGAAAACATTGGAGAAATATATACAGATGATAGTAATGTTGTAATCGGATTTTCTCAATTTACAGTTTCAACCTTCAAAGAGAAGCTCTTTCGTAGGGGAGAAGTAAAAAATATAGTTCAAAATATTGAAGAAATGGATCTTTGGAAAGTTGACAACAAGAAAGTTGAAGAAGAAAACAATCTTAAAGAATTTACTAAAAGTGACATCATTGAAAAACTCGGAGGCAAAGAGATGGTTGCTCGATTCCTGTTTAAAAGATATTTTGATGTTAATCAAGAAATGGATATTAAGGGTATTCATATCTTTATAGTCCCTACCTCCACTGGTAAGTGTTTTACCTCTCGAACAAGAAATTTCTTCGTTTTTTTATTCACATTGTATCACATTTACTAATATACAAGAACCGCTCAATCCTATCTACTCATATCTATTCTCAAAAGTTCCTTCAAAAAGAGAGCGTGAAAAAGAAGCCAAGGCTTCACGAAAGGTTCAAAAGATTTTTGGCGCCACGAGTGTTTCAGAGACAAGAATATTTAAAACGATTGCTGAGAATAGTGAGGCAAGGCTAGATGAAAATGTATGCACTTCGTTGCATGAGTCAGGTGTTGCATGATCTAATTGTGCATTGATTTGTGTTTAACATCACAGAAGTTGGAGTTGCTATATGGTATCCCAAACTTTTTCAGCTTCTGCACCAACGCCGGAATAATATTTGCTGATAAGACAATGTATATCGAGCAACTTGAGAAAAATCAAAGCAACTACCGATACATGTTCCTCCGGCCACGTCGCTTTGGAAAATCAGCTTTTCTCAATATGCTTTGCAACTATTACGACATTCACAAAGCTGATATTTTCAACGATCTTTTTGGTCCACTTTATATCGGCAAGAATCCAACATCCTGGCGCAACCAGCATCTCGTCCTGAAGTTTGACTTATCGTCCATCAGCGTGAGTGGCTCAAGGGATAGAATAGAGGCTAGTTTCAACAAGGTCATTAACGACACATTGCAGGATTTTATTGAGAAATATGGAACAGAATTGGGATGTCCGGAAGTTAAAAATGTGCTTGATACCAGCAATGCTTCTGCATCTCTAATGAGTATCTTGGTAAGTTTCTTATATTTTTTTGCTATTACAATAGCTTTGAATGTACTATTAATGTGCCATCTTTACACAAAGAAACTGGCAGGCAAATTTGGCCATACTCTTTTCGTTGGAGTAGATGAGTATGATGCACCAGCTAACAACAGTGCATTTACAGACACAAGTACAGGATTGGAACAAACTACACTTGATAATGTTGCCAAGCTTGAACAGTTCTTCAAGAAGAGTTTCTTTGCAGTGCTCAAACAAGGCTGTAGAAGGCTATACAATGGTCTTGCGGTCATCAGCAAGTACTTTTTGGTTGGCGTCACACCTGCCTTTCGTGCTGGGAACAGCCCACTTATTGAAGCAGTCATTGTTTCTGATGAGGTCGGCTTGCATGGCATATGTGGGTTCACAGAGAGCGAGGTCAAAACCATTGTCCAGCACTATCTTTCTAAGGATGAATAAGAAGCAGAACCTATAATTCACACCATGCAGAAATTGTATAATGGATATTTCTTTGCTAGCTCTGGTTACAACAAATCTGACCCACAACCTCCACTCATTTACAATTCTCATCTAGTCTTTCACTACCTCCGCAAATTCAGTAGTCATGGACTGGTTGCAAAGTCCGAAGAATCTACTGCTATCCATTCTACAACAATTCTCAAGTCCATCTCGAACATAGGAGAGTTTTCTGTGAAAGATCTTGAAGATTTGATTATCAATGGATCAGTTAGATCAAAAATCAAGACAGAATTCGACTTTTCTGATCTTCTCAAAATTGGAAAAAATAGTACTATCACTTGGTCGCTACTTTACTATCTTGGAATCCTTACTCGTAATTCAAATAGAAGCCTGCAGATCCTAAATGATATTATAAAATCAGATGTACGTATTTTTTTTTAATGTGACGTTTAACTAAGCAGAAAATAATGATAATAATCTTTGTTTTCTTCAGATCTTAGAATGAATTACTAGTTATTTGCATGATCAAGATAAGATTCAGGTTCTCATAAGTCCAGCAATAAAAAACCTTGGCGAGGGTAGAACCAACGAGTTCTCTAATCTTTTGAAAATTTTCTTAGAAACAAGAGCATTGAGGTCTCAGGCAAGAGCGAATAAATCTGTGCTCTAAGGCGTTATTGAAGTCCTTTTGGATGAGCTAAACAGCTGAGTGCCAGAGCTTCGTCTCGTACTTGATGGAAACAAGAAATATGGAGATGGTCGTTTTGGATTCATGATATTTTCATCCTTCCGATGAACACAACTGTAAGCGAGCGAACTTTTAGCGTTGTTCTGGAATTGAAAAACATCATGTTGGAAGGTCTTTGGCGTAGAGAGATGAATGATTAGAAGAAAAAATCCTACTATTCAGATTTGAAAAAACTGGAAGACAAGCTTTACGAAGAAGATGCTAGTAATCTTTTAGCTAGGAACTATATGTATTGGTCAGAGGAGCAACGTGAACCAATACTAACAACTGTTAATAATGTTATGGCAGATGGAGTAAAACAGCTCAAAAAGTATATGCAAACTATTAAAATGGGAAAGCCAAAATCATATTGTGATTCAGGAGTCTTGGACAGCCGGGTTATAATTGATGAAGAATATGACGATTTACAAGAACATGTTGTTATTGCTATTGGTAGACGCATTCTGATAAATTCCACAAAATTGATGTCAACTTCAAACAAATATCAAAGGGCATTATTGAATTTATAGTTTTCGTTCTTTGTTAAAGTACTTGTAGCTTACTTTATGTTGCATATTTGTTGTGTATTATTATTATTGACATTTTACATGACTTGCGGAAGGCCTGGTTCTAAATGAAATTCAAATTCAGTAAATATTCTGCTAAGCAAATGATACACCAAAAGGGAAGAATCTTTAATAAAAGAATGCTAGAAAATTTTAATTAAAAATTAAGCAAAAAAAGAAAACTAAATAATTAAATAGTATTAATTTAATTGATCGAGAAAAGTTCATTTTCAAAAATTGTTTTATACACTGTATAAAATGCATTCAAAATAAAGAATTCACGTGATTCCACTTTGTGAACTTAGTTCACGAAATTTTGCCAAGAAAAATTTTTATTAATACATGTGAAAATAAATACAAAGGTTCGGGACGTAACCTGCGATACATGATGATTTTTCTATGCTAAAACCTATTTATCTGACTTTCCGGTAAGGTTACTCAATGACCTATGCTTTTTTATTACCCTTTCTTCACTCTGAGAATCAGAATCTAGCTTCTGTGCCTCCTCCAATAACCATCAATATGCCCAAGAACTCTTTCAACATTACCTTCCGTACTCTCGGTGCCATACACAGCTACTACCGATTTTGATAGCTTGAATGATGGCTTCCCCTTATTATCTAGCGAACATTTCATAAAATACCACTTTCCGCATCTATGATGATCCCAAAAGTCTTCCTAGTAAAAACATTTCTAGAGTTCTGAATGAGTCGAGTCGAGTCGAGTTTAAAGACCAACTCTATTCGACTCATTTTTTTTGAGTCGAGTCGA